AGGGCCGGATGAAGTGTGTGCCAGGGTGCTTAAACAGTGCAAAGAAGAGCTTTCCGAGCCACTTTCTACCATATTTAATAAATCAATAGAGTTAGGCAGCGTGCCAGAGTTATGGAAAGTTGCTAATGTGATACCAATTTTTAAGAAAGGAGATAGATCACTTGCGTCAAACTATCGATCAATTAGCCAAACGTCTATTGTGGGAAAGTTACTTGAATCGATAATTGCAAATAAAATTCGTCTTCATCTTGAAAAACATAAATTAATAAATGAGTCGCAACATGGTTTTACAAATGGCCGATCATGTTTAACAAATTTGCTATATTTTTATTCCAGCATAGTTGAGGCAGTTGATAGTGGTAGGGATTGTGATGTTGTGTACCTTGACTTTAGCAAAGCTTTTGATACAGTGCCACATGAAAGACTGATTAAAAAAATAGAGGCGCATGGTATGTTAGGTGCTTTATTAAGTTGGATTAGGGCATGGCTATTCCAAAGGAAACAGAGAGTTAGTATAAATGGGGTTAAGACAGAGTGGGAAAATGTTGTAAGTGGAGTGTCTCAGGGCTCTGTCCTGGGACCTCTGTTGTTTATAATATATATCAATGATTTAGATTCAGATTTGAGTAGCAACATTTGCAAATTTGCCGTTGATACAAAAATTGGCGGAGAAATTAACACAGAAGAAGACTCACTATCACTTCAAGTTGATCTAAATAGGGTTTTGAAATGGTCAAAGGATTGGCAGATGCAGTTTAATGCTGATAACTGTAAAGTTTTGAGGCTAGGTAATGATGATAGAGTTACAAGACACGAGCTAAATGGTGTTGAGATTGCGAAGTTGAATTGCGAAAGGGATCTAGGAGTTATGATAAGTAAGAATTTAAAACAAAAGGATCAATGCATGAATGTTCTTAATTAGGCACATAGGACACTGGGATTTATTAATTGAAGCGTTAGTAACAAGACACCTGGTGTTGTTCTTCAGCTATATCTTGCTCTGGTTAGGCCCCATTCAGATTATGCAGTTCAGTTTTGGTCGCCGTACTATAGAATAGATATAAATTCACTTGAAAGTATCCAGCGTAGGATGACTAAGTTAATTCCCCAAATTAGAAACCTTTCATATGAAGAAATGTTGTTGTTGTTAAAGATTTAGCTATTCAGGATGGAGTGTCCATGTAGCACGGGCTATGGTGAGCCCGTAATTGAGTTTGGTTATACATGATAACCTTTTTCCTGTGATATTTAGGTCTAAGTTTAAAATGGAGGAGAGGACTTCTCCCTTTTCCCTGCTTATTTGTCGCTTCTGTTTTATTGCTCTGGTTTTAATCTTGTTTTATTAACATTATCTTGGTGGCGGATGTAGATGCAGAATGCTCACTAATGAGTCCCATTCCTCAACAGCTTTTCTAATCATTGTAGTCGCGGTGGAATGTGCATCTAATGCAGCTGCAGTCGTTGGATTAATGTTGAGTTTGATGCGCAGGGCTTCAGTAGCTTCACATTCCAGTAAGTAGTACAATAGTGGCGCCTCTGCTTCTGTTCCACAGATGTGACACTCTTTAACTATTGGGTTCATTACCTCCCAGCAGCACTTGTACCCAAGTCTGAGTCTGTGTATGGCTACTGCATTGTCTCTGGATATCTTTTTGCCAGGCTTGAAAGAGGAGTAACCAGTGGCTTGTTCGTACCATATCGCAGTGGATCTTCCTTCCGCTACTTTGGCTCTGTGGCGACTTTTGATAGTTGAGAATATTTTCTTCTTGATTTGCTCCTTTATCTGTGAGAAACTTGGAGGTATTTGAACCTGTACAACAGGTAGAGCAGTGGCAGTTTTTGCTAGTGAGTCTGCCTTTTCATTACCCTCTATGCCAGTGTGACTTGGTATCCAATTTAGGGTGATTGACAGCCCTCGATTATGGGCATCTTTTCCTATATGTTGAATTTGTGAGGAGTTGTATATTATCTCTGTGCTGACTGGATAACAATGCCTGGAGCGAAGATTTAGAGTCTGTATGAATGATGACATCATGTAAATTATTCTCAATTGTATAGTTTATTGCCTCCTTCAGGGCATATAATTCTGTTTGCAATGTTGAGCACTCACTATTCATGCTCCAGTAGGCTTCATGGTTGGTAGTGTAAACTGCTGCCCCAGCAGAACCTCTTTCTTGATCAACTGATCCATCTGTGAAGATGTGAGTCGATGTGGGTCTAGAGATAGTTTCCATTTGTTGCTCTATTACTTCCTTGAGCCTCTGTGGGTCACATGCTGATTTTTTAACTGGTAATCTTTCAATGATTATCTTTAGAGTCTATTCTTCCCATGGAGGAGGCTGTCGAAAGTGTTGATATGGTCTATCTTCCCCTTTGTTTTTAATGGTCCATATGAAGAAAGATTAACAAAGCTTAAATTGCATTCACTGGAAAGGCGAAGAGTTAGGGGTGACATGATAGAGGCTTACAAGTGGATGAATGGACATAACAAAGGAGATATTAGTGGGGTATTAAAAGTATCAACACAAGACAGAACACGAAACAATGGGTATAAATTGGATAAGTTTAGATTTAGGAAAGACTTGGGTAAATACTGGTTCGGTAACAGGGTTGTTGATTTGTGGAACCAATTACCACGTAGCGTGGTGGTGGGGTCCCTCGATTGTTTCAAGCGTGGGTTGGACAAGTATATGAGTGGGATTGGGTGGTTATAGATAGTTGCTGCCTCGTATGGGCCAATAGGCCTTCTGCAGTTACCTTTGTTCTTATGTTCTTATTTTCTTAAGTGGATGAATGGACATAACAAAGGGGATATTAATAGGGTATTAAAAGTATCAACACAAGACAGAACACGAAACAATGGGTGTAAATTGGATAAGTTTAGAGTAAGAGGGTTGTTGATTTGTGGGACCAATTACCACGCAACGTGGTGGAGGTGGGGTCCCTCGATTGTTTCAAACGTGGGTTGGACATGTATATGAGTGGGATTGGGTGGTTATAGATAGGAGTGGCCTCGTATGGGCCAATAGGCCTTCTGCAGTTACCTTGTTCTTATGTTCTTATGTTAAAAACTGTTGGTAAGCTATTACTTAGGAACAGCGCTCGTAGTGATAATTGTGTCATTTAAAAAATACCTTGTAAAGACTGTAATAAGTTCTATGTTGGGCAAACATCTAAAGATTTGAAATGTAGAATTTCGCAACATAAATACTCTGAAAGACATGGCCAATTGTCTAATGCTTTGTTCATCTGTCAGAAGATGCTCACCAAATTGATTGGGAGATGGCTTCTTCAATAACGAATTGTAAAAGCACTTATAACAGAAACATAATTGAATCTGCTTTGATACATATTACAAAAGAAAGTAATTTGAACATTAGCAGTGGTCTATATAACTTAGATCCATTATTGATAGATCAATTAAAAGGCGATTTGATTAGGATCATTGGAACACATTTGTCTCACTAATTCATTGTAAATATTTACTGTCTTATGCTATTATAATCCATGCATGGGCCTGTTGGTGGGTATGGATAGGAGCTGCATCGTATGGGCCAATAGGCCTTCAGGATTTCTTGTGTAGCTCATATTTGTGTCTAACTAATTCCCATTCATTTTTTTATTGTACCTCACCTCACTCCACCATTCTCTCCTGCCTATTTATGTCCAATACTTGACCTGTAAAAATCACTCCTTCTGAAGATGTTTTAATATAAGAAAGTACTTAAGGAAATTCCTGTTTCAATTTTCCTCCTAATCATATTAATATATATATATATATATATATATATACGAACAAGCCTGAATGGTCCCCAGGGCTATATGCGACTGAAAACTCACACCCCAGAAGTGACTCGAACCCATACTCCCAGGAGCAACGCAACTGGTAACTACAGGACGCCTTAATCCGCTTGACTATCACGACCGGACAAAAGGAAGTGATAGCCGAAGCTTTTTGAATGACCTCCCCACCGGCACTCGAATGGTAATCTTGGGCATAGCATTTTATCAAATCACCTCATTCTTTGGGGCACACGTGAGGAACACAAATGCGAACAAGCCTGAATGGTCCCCAGGACTATATGTGACTGAAAACTCAAGTAAGAAGTGGTTCAAATAGCTTCAGCTATCACTTTCTTTTGTCCGGTCGTGATGGTCAAGCGGATTAAGGCGTCCTGTAGTTACCAGTTGAGTTGCTCCTGGAAGTATGGGTTCGAGTCACTTCTGGGGTGTGAGTTTTCAGTCGCAAATAGTCCTGGGGACCATTCAGGCTTGTTTGCATTTGTGTTCCTCACGTGTGCCCCAAAGAATGAGGTGATTTGATAAAATGCTATGCCCAAGATTACCATTCGAGTGCTGACGGGGAAGTGGTTTAAATAGCTTCGGCTATCACTTCCTTTTGTCCGGTCGTGATGGTCAAGCGGATTAAGGCGTCCTGTAGTTACTAGTTGCGTTGCTCCTGGGAGTATGGGTTCAAGTCACTTCTGGGGTGTGAGTTTTCAGTCGTCATATATATATATATATATATATATATATATATATATATATATATATATATATATATATATATATATATATATATATATATCTCATCAACTTAATGTTTCATCAAAATATTTACATATGTCCATCATACTCTCATGCTCGTCAATAAGCACATTAATTTAACTGTAACACTTTAGTACACATATAAATATAAAATACTAGGGTCTTAATATAAATAAAATTAAATAATATAAAATATAAATATAAAATATTAGGTCTCAAATGGAATTTCAGTTTCAACTGTATTTTGCCTAGTCAAATGATGTCAGAGATCTACACCAAAAAGTGCTTCTTTGGACCAATTTTGCTTGTTGGGTGATCCATATTCAACCATATGGGAACAATGAACAAATTCCTTCTAGCCATGACTAGGTAGGCACTGCCTTGTTTTGGCTGTAAAGAAAATGAAGAAAATGCTACACTGTATTTTATGACCTTGGTCTTCATGAACATACCTCAGGGTCAGGCTCATCCGGACGGTAGTCCAAGACATAGAGGAAAGCTGTTCTTGCGGGAGTGTAGAGCTGGTTGGCAGCTACTGTGACAGGGAAGACAAAGGCAGCATCGTGGAGAGCCTCTGCCGTCAGGTCCCGAATGTGTACTGGGTGTTGAACTGGCCGCGCCCAGTCTGTGTACTCTGCTGTAATAGCCAGCACGATTTCCTACAAACAGATCCATTAATACCATCTTACCATTGATGTTATTTCTAGAAATATTAAATACATCAGAGGATGTCAAAAATTTTATTTTTCTGTGGGGAGCCCCGTCGGCTCCCAGATGCTATCAAACTGATATGTGCTATATTAGTTTGGTGCCATCAGTCCCTGGAGTTCTAGTGCCTACCGAGGGCCACGAGCTAGTACCTGGCTCCCTCAGAGAGGTGCAGGAAGCAATGGCCATATGAGCACTCAATATTTAGAGTCTGTTATGTCTGCCATCAACCAGGGATACCAACAGAAAGGTAGGCGAAACAATACAATAAAAACCTCAAACTGGTTAAAATTGCAACCCACGTCCAAACAAAGCCAAAGAACTCCCCCCCCCCCCAAAAAAAAAAAGAAAACAAAGAAACAAGCAAATCGGCATCCAAGCAGGACGCCCGCTTGTTAGTGCCCCCCTTCCACCGAGAGGAGGAATGGGTATCCCGCTCATGCGAGCCCCACTGGCTGAACAACAAGGAGTTGTTCATTGCCTCTGATGTGATGACGATCATTCATCCTGCCTCGTCATACTGCCTGTTGGATCAGAGACACCTGCGACCATGAGTCTTGTGGGACTTGTTCTCAACTTGCTATTCAGTTTACCCATTCCTTGTCTGAGGATATTCGGAGTCAGACAGCAGTTTTCTTAATTAGCAGCATGTTAGGTATTCTTTGATGCAACGAGCCAGATTAGTTGCCCAGTTGGAAGCCCTGGAGCTGCCTCACTTAGATTTTAGGGACCAGGATTTAGGGGCATTGGTTACTTCAACTGTGGTTCAGTCCGCACCCTTGCTTCCTTCTCAGGTGGATGTGGTTCACCCTGCTCCTCCCTTCCCCCTGCTTTTGACTCCCAAACATCTGAGGGTTTTAGAGCCAGGGTATGGTTTAACATGGGATGAGGCTCGGGGGGTTGACCTTGGATGAGGCTCAGGGGGTTGTCCTTCCAACTCGGGGATGGAGGATGAGCCCGATTTCCCCGACAAGACTTTGGAGTCAACCAATCTTTTTGAAGCTTTTCCCCAGGACTCTGCCTTGTCTTCAAGGGTGGTGGGTGTGGATATGGGCTCTTCCCATGGTCTGTATCAGGGGTTCTTGGGGCATGGGGGCAGTCTGCTTGGAGTGCTTGGGCTCCTTTTGATCCTGCCTGGGCCCTTGTGCCATATGGGCAGGGTGTATTTTTGCAGGTTCCAGGCGTTTTCGTATTCTCCGTCTCTGCATGAATTTGAGATGGGGGCGGCTCCTCCCCCCCCTCCCGGTTCATTTCTGGGTTCCTTTGGGTTCCTAGGCTGCATCCTTCTGGAGGTCTCCTTCCTCTCGGATTTTCCCTGCAGATGGTCCGGGAGGCCCTTGGTGCTTACTGCCTGTGAGACCCGGTTTACACCTCTACAATGGATCCGTCTTCCTTTGAGTTTGGTTCTACTTCCCCGTATTGGGTGCGGTACAAGGTTCCAGAGTCTTCCTGGTTAGTGGACTGCCTTTTTTGTCTCTTTGAGTGCTTTGCGCAGGTTTTGTCTGACCCGCACACTTGAGATGCGGGAGGTTTTCTCAGTGTTGCAAGTGTTCTTGGGGGTTCTTTGGAGTTCCTCAATGAATGCCTCTTTGCCTCTGTGCTTTCCCATGATGTGGGTCTGGTGCACGTACATGCTCAAGTCCCCTCTGTTTCGGCTGCCTTGGTGGCGGATAACTCTCAAACTCGTGGTCATTTGGCCTAGGTCTTGCGCTTCTTCAGTCTTCTCAAGCTGTCCTCGGACTGGCTTTCGGAGGATGTGGAGGCATTGAGTGGAGGCCCTTTGGCCAGGGTTCTGGTTTCAACTGCTGAGGCGTCAACTGCCCTGCTGAGCTGTTTGCACTGATCCTCCAGGAGGCGGTTTCTATGTTTTTTACCTCTCATCTTGGGTGTCGAAAGTATTTCGTTGCCTTCCATTCAGTCTGAATCTGGCACCTTGCATATTCACACATTTAAACAGATTTATTGTGGCCTGTCTTCATCTGCTAGGTATTCGGGTTCTGGCCTACATTGACGATTAGTTGGAATGGACTCCCAGCAGGTCTGCATATCTGCTTACCAGGGACGTGGTTCTTTCCCAGCTTGCCAGGTTCAGGTTCCTGGTAACTGGTGGAAATCCCATCTGGTTTTGTCCTGGGTTCAGACTTTGCTGGGCCTCGTGTGGGATTCTTGGACAGCGTCCGTTTCTTTCCCTCATGCAGCTTTGCTTCAGCTGTAGTTCCATCATCTACTGTTTTTGAGGTGGACCTGGGTCACTCGGCAGTTGCTGTGCAGAAAACAGCTGTGCGGAAACCTGAACTTTGCCATGCTGGTTTTTCCGATGGGCATGGTGTGGTTTCAGGGGCTGTTCTGGTATCTTCGGGACAGCCCCTTTCTGTTGAGCTCATAGCACGGTGTGAGAGTTTGCAGCTGTGTGGCAGGCGTGGTGGCAGATTCGATTGCCTCGGGGCTCAGTGATTCGACTCCATTTGGACTGCTCCCCTGTGCTTCATTGTTTCAACCGAGGTGGGGTGGGGGGGGGGGTTCTATGGTTCATGGCTCTTAGGGGGCTGGTCGCTCCAGGTAGCTCTTCTGCTGAGTTCTTGGGGCTTAGCTCTATGTGCAGTTTACATTCAGGGGATGTCCAACATCCTCGTTGATGGTGTGTCTGAGTTCATTCATCTTTCCACGGAGTGGATGGTCGACGCCAGCTCGTTCCTTTGGCTGTGTTGGACATTCAGGCACCCGGAAGAGGCTTTCGCGGTAGATGCTTTCTGGCAGGACTGGTTAAAGTGGGATTTCCTGTACCCTCATTTCCCGGTCCAGCTGTTGTTTCAGATTCTGGCTTGGCTCGAATCCTATTGGGGAGAATGGTTCTCCAGGCCCCATGGAGGCCAGCCCAGCTTTGGTTTCAGCCGCTACTTGCTCAGTGTCCGAACCTGACGGTTTTTCCGCAGCTGCGCCTCTTTCAGCAAGTCAGGCCGGTGAGATAACTTGCTGGTTTGGCTTACTCTTCCATGCTTTGCATCTGGTTTTTCTGACGTGGGTGTATCACCATTTGTATGGTAATCAGGCGACTTTATTAATGGTGTCCTACCTGCGGTACTCTTCTCAGCTGTCATGACCTCATGATCCACAGCATCGCTGGCCGACCAAAGCCTGACCAATTTTCAATAAGTGCCTAGGGTAAGTTAAAGAGGCTGGTTTAAACAATGCCAGTTTACTAGATCATATAAACAGATCACTGTAAAACAATGTGAACTAACATTCTCTACTTACAACTGATGTACACTAGTATACAACTGATACTTTCATCAAAACAAAGAGCTTCATCACACAGTTCAATTAGTCACATCAATGAACTTCAAGAACCTTCACAGCTATCAAAATCAGTTACTGCTAATACTTAGGACTAGCTGACAGTAGGCTCCAACCCGGCACAATGGCACACTAACCCAAGTAACAGGTTGGAGGTGTAATACATAAATAGTGGGTGAGGAATCTGTCACGTACTGCAGCACAATAATAATATTCTATGATCCTCAGTTGCCCAAATTACATACCACCTGACATAACTGATATATCTACTTAGCCTGATCCAGTTTCAACAGCATTACTCTTATAAAATATATCTTAGTAATATATAACAAACTACAGTACAATTCAAGGACTGGACGTCTGACGTCCAGTCCTTGGATTGTACATCTGACGTCTGGGTGAACCCGGTTTCCCTAGATCCCTGTTCCAGGGCTCGTGTCTCTCAGGTTGTCTACAGGGTTATCAAGTCTAGCCAGCCTGCAGGTTGCCCTCGTGCCCATGATGTGAGGAATTAAGCTGCTCTTGCTGCTGTTTTTGGTAGCTGTCTTGAGTCAACATTCGGGAATGGGGGTTTTGGAAATCGAACAGGGTCCTGGCCGCCAGATATCTTGTCAACGTTCTGAACCCTCTGTGGCCTTGTGTTGCTTTGAAATGTCTGTAGTTGTCTGTTGTCTCATCTTTATCGTGAAACTTACACTGCTGCCTCCTCCCTGTTTCGACTTATCTGTGGGGTAATTAGCTTCAGGGAGCCGATGAGGCTTCCCACAGAAAACCAGCATTGAATGTAATGAAACGCCATTTTCTGGGCATGCCCCGGAGGCTCCCTGACTTCCTCCCTCCCTCCCTCCCTTCAGTCAGCAGTTTTCATCATTCTACAAACGGAGAGGTAGAGTGGCTGGCTTGCCTGAGCGGGCTTCCCCTTCCCTCTGTCGGGGAAGGGAGGGGGGAAGGGGGTAGGACACTAACGTCATCCAACTAGCGCGGGTGTGCTAGTTGGATAACGAATTGCTTGTTACTCTGTTTTCTTTTTGGGGGGGAGGAGATCTTTGGCTCTGATCAGAAGTAGGATGGAATTTTAACCAGTTAGAGGTTTGTATTGTTTCACGTACCTTCGTGGTGATATCCCCGGTCGAAGGCAGACATGACAAATTCTAAATGTAGAGTGCTTATATGGTCATTGCTCTCAGCGCCTCTCTCAGGGAAAGCCTGGTTCTGGCTCGTGGTCCCCGGTAAGCACTTGAACCCCAGGGACTGATGGCACCAAGCTAGTATTGCACATGTTAGTTTGATAGCTTCAGGGAGTCTCCGAGGCTCGCCCAGAAAATGGGGTTTCATTATATTCACTGCTATTTTTTTTGCTAAAACTCACATACTGTACAGTAGTTCTCAAACTGTCAATTTGTTTAGCTATTCACTGTATGACCACTATGTTGGAGTGACTGGATGATACAGTTTAATGTATCATTGAATCATATTTCATATTTAATGCAAGAAGTGCAGAAAGATAATCAGTGAGTATGAAATGGGACATTGCAATAGGAGCTGCATTTCCCGAATATATTATCTACAAATTATGTTACCAGAGTAAGCTGGAAGTTTACCAACAGAAAAATTATGACTTTCAGGAAATTATTACTATATTGAAGTCTAAGATTATATTAATGGCAATAATAGCTAGCTAGAATTATTATCCAAATTATACTCTACTATAGTATTGCACTGTAATAGGGTATTAATGGCAATGTTACTTTATTGACCTTCTAACTGCTCTTGTTGTCCTCAAGCAATTTACCCGTGAGCATATTGCCTGTGAGAGATTTAATATCCCTCTAATGTTCAAAAGTCCTCAAGATTTTATGTGGACATCATTCAAAACTTAAGATCTGTGGTAACTGTTTGGCATATTGGAAAAAATATCATGAAAACATTAGCTTCCTTTCTGGAAATTAGTACAAAAATTGTCACCATGTCAGGTACATCATCATTCATTTACTGACTTCCATGCTAGGAACCACTGACTCCATACTAAACTTCAGGGATTTCATGGACCTGGAAGATATTAGTGATGAGAAATCTATTACAGATAGCAAGAAAATTAATTCTCAGAATTGAACGTTTCATTTTTGATCACCTCACTATGGTTAAACTAAAATGATTACAATTTAATTTTATTTCCTCAACATCAGAAATAAATCTTTTCCATTGTAGAAAGGAAAAAGAATTTTTGTAATTTTATGCTCACAAAGAAATTGACCTAAATTAGGATGTGAAGTTAGAGGATTAAGACTATATAACAGTACCAGATGTGACTTAATAATAATAAATAATAATAATAATAATAATAATAATAATAATAATAATAATAACAATAATAATAATAATAATAATGGAGAAACTTACTACAATACTGTAGTGTTTAAATAGAGGTGATAAAACTCCCAGTTCAAGTTTAAGTTTATTATTAAATCAAATGTTTGGATGAACCTACATCCTTTATCAAGGGGCTGTAAACAATATTATGTAATAGGTACAGAACATTGTTTACAGCACCTTAATATAGCACATAGATTCACCCAAAAATTTTGTTTAATAATACACTTAAACATGTATTGGATCTTTTCTTAACCATCAATAATAATAATAATAACAATAATAATAATAATAATAATAATAATAATAATAATAATAATAATAATAATAATAATAATAATAATAATAATAATTGTTATTAAGACAATATACAAAAGAATAATATACCTGTAAGTGATAACGATAGTTGTTGGTGACAAAGGTCCGCAGCAGCCGATCTCTGTGATCTGCCTCAAAGCCATGCTGGATCTCCGCATCACTGAACACCTCGAGAATGTCGGTGGCAGCAACACCAAGCAGTAGGTCGACTGGTGTGCGCCCCTCCTCTCCTGCCAGCAGTGGGAACACAACCACAGTTACTGAAGCACATTCTCTATTGGTTCTGTTTTCACTGCAATCTATGGAATATATTTATCATAAACGAACAGCATTATTTATGAATAGCAATTTTAAGTTTATTTTCTGTAAAATATATATATATATATATATATATATATATATATATATATATATATATATATATATATATATATATATATATATATATATATATATATATATATATATATATATATATATATATATATATATATATATATATATATAATCTTATCTACAGAATGAATATGTGTTCTTAAGAAAATATAAAAGGATAGCAGTGCTGATATCTTGTATAAAGGACCTTTCCTATGGAGGTAAGCATAAGCAAATGGCCCCTGCAAGACGACCAACACTTGAAAACCAGGACCAAAATGGCTAATAACTTGAGGAACACTAGTGAACGTTGCAACACCCGCCCAATGATTGAGGAGCTGCACCTGGTTCTGACACCTGGTGGTGGGCAGTTACTACTAGTGGGTGAGGGACCAAAGTGCTAGGTGCTTTGCTTTCAGAGTTATCTGTTGTGTTTTGCTTTACCTAGTGGCTTATTTCACTGTTAGGTTGCTCAAAAGTCCCTGTTCTCTGCACTCCTTTCTTGAGGCCGGGTTTTGGCCTATGGTTCCTTATAGGCTTTGTTACGAACCCAAGTCCACCATCGGAACACGGAGCAGTGACGTCAACGCCATCTGCGAGTCCGTTCCCGAAACCCCTTCCAAATGGACGATGCCATCTAATTGTGCCGAGGATATACCAGCTAGACATGCTAGATTCTTGTCCTGGTAGCTCATGAGGTAGCCGGTGCTGACCTCTGGTGAGGTGGTGCTTAGGACATCAGCGCCACCTATTGAGCTAATAGCCATACGTTAATACCAAAGCCAGTAAGTGATGTTGCCTAGTGGTTCCCATGTAGTATCCCAGTACTGGTGACGTGTCTGTTTTCACAAAGTCAACCTAGGATAGCGGTGATGTATAATGAATCAGTCTACCCAAGGCAGCCAAGGTCTCTTCACCAGTCTGCTTTGTAGAAGCAGTGAGCCGCCACCGGACGAGCACTGCTGAGTGTTTAATTGTCTGCCTGAGGAGTGGCAGTGACGGGATTCGCCATACCCGGGGCTGGCTGGTGGAAGAGACAACCAACTGCGGTGCCGACCAAGGAGAGTAACCAGCGAGTTACACAAGGCTCCTGCCTAGGGCTCCCAACCCTAGTATTCGTTGTGAAGTGGCCTAACAGCGAGGGTGATTGGTACCTGCCTGCTACAGGCTGGACTGTGGTTGTGGGCCTTCACGACGGGGCACCCAGTGGAATTGTGATTTGGCTGGCTTGTGACCAGGGTAGATTCATCGTGGTTTCCTGGTACCTGTAGAGGGTTGTGCCACGGAATAGGAAACCAGGCAAGACTGCACGAAGTGAGCGTCGCCACGTGTTCAGCGTCTTCAGAGGGAGACGAAGACATATATTGTGTAGTAATATTTACCGTTTGTGACTTTTAATTTATATATGGTGGTGGGAAAAAAATTATATATATAGAGAAAGTGATAAACTTGTGTATTTAATGTACCTCCCCTGTTTATTTTACTTGCATTACGGAGCTCACCCCCTTGAAAGCCTCTACTAACTTGGGGCCGGATACCCAAACTCTAATACCATCAGAGAAGAACCCAGTTGCGTCCCATTAGGGCCGAAACAGGCTGATAATGACTTGCAAGGGTCTGGCATGACTTGAGCCAGGTGAAGCTAACCGGTCAGCTAGCAACAGGGAAGCCACCATGGAACTCTTCCAAAAACAGTGATTGAGTGCTGTACATATGCCTACAATGTAATATGCATACCAATATCACAAGTAATTCTGTTCCTGGAACAGCTCAAAAATAGTGTCTTGCAACCCACACCTTTCCTGCTATTCCTGATTTACCCGAGGACCACTAACCCTAGTGACCTTGATCATGGCAGGAATCCACCAGCTTGTCGAAGGTCCCTCCATTTGCCTTGATGAACTTCTTTAGGTATATTCTAAAACTAAAAAATATATAAAAAAACATTAATAATAATTAATATTATTATTATTATTAACTCAACACAATTTTGGCAGTTACAGCTTCGGCGGGTAGGCAATTCCAAGGGTTAATAACCCTGTGGGTGAAAAAGCATCACCTGTTCTTAGTCCTAAATTGTGGCTTGAGCTTGAAACCGTTGCTCCTTGTTTGTGTTACATCTGACCTTCTGAAGAAAATATCCAGATCAACATCTTCCAACTTGTTCAGTATTTTAAAAATTTCAATGAGATCCCCCTGTCATGTCTGGTTTGCAGTGTTGTCAGCCCTGTGGCCTTCAAGCATTCCTGGTATGGGAGATTACTTAGTTCTGGAATGACTTTTGTTGCCTGGTGTTGCATTTGCTCCAGAGCCACTATGTCCTTCTGAAAATGAGGTCTTCATGCTTGGGTACAGTAATCCAAATGGGGGTGCACCAGAGATTTATACAGTTGAACCATTACCTTCTTTTCCTTACAGACAAAAGTACGCTTGATTATCCCAAGAGTTTGGTAAGCTTTATTGATTGCTGCACCCACCTGTTGTGCAACTTTTAATGAGTGGTAGATTTTGACTCAAAGGTCATTTACTTCATCAATCGGCTGTAATGTAATACTATTAATGGTAGGCGTGGCATGGGTTGTTATGCCCAACTGGATGGTCTTGCATTTGTCAAAATTAAAAAGCATTTGCTAGTCACCTGACCATTTGTGGAGTTCACGTAGATCTCTTTGTAAGGCTTCAATATCATTATCATTTCCCACTTTACCATAAATCTTTGTCGTCTGAAAATATGACGATGTGATTTATAATGTTCTGATCTATGTCATTGACGTATATGACAAAAAGGGAAGGTCCCAAAATGGACCCTTGTGGCACCCCCCCCCCACCCTTATCACATTTCTCCATTCAAATTGGTTTCCATTTAGCACGACCTTTTTTTCTTTCCTTCAACCATTGTTTTATCCATTCTAATATTTTACCATTTATTACATGGGCCTGTAATTTCCTTGCCAGTCTTTCATTTATTATCTTATTGAAAGCTTCAGCAAAATCTATGTATACTGCATCCGGTTAAACCACCATGCTGCACAGAGTTTATTGTGAAATTCTCCCTGTGCGCATGAAATAAAGTGTTCCCAAAAAATTATGTTTATCTTGTAAAATGATAAATTCCCTTCCCTGAACATGTCTATGTAAAAATAAATACCAAATTCCACTTATGTTGGCTGTGGGGATGTGGACAAGGTGCGTTGTGACGTCATCAGCGGCTGGTGGCCCGTGAGAGACTCACCCAGACATGATCGCGCGGGCCATTCAAGTACCGCGTGTTGCCACAAATATATTTTCAATTATTTGTTCAATGTATTTCCAATGTGGTTTTATTTGTTTTGTTTTTATCGAATATGATACATATTTGTGTCCTTTACAATATGTATACAGTAGAACGTTTATAATGTTCCATGGAACTGTGATTCAAGTGTCAATAATTTGTCCACAATAAATATTTATTGGCGCAATATTACTTGTTAAAAATTCACTAAAATTACAATATGTACAGTTTCACACACTATTTACACAGTAACACACTGTATTACACACACACTAACTAATTACACTAACATAGATGGGATTACAAATAAAACAAGTGAACTCAGAGAATGGGCACTAGAAGAAAACCCAGACATAATAGCACTCACAGAAACAAAGCTAACGAAAATTATAACAAACGCAGTCTTTCCACAGGGCTACTATGTAGTGAGGAAAGAGAGAGAACGGAGAGGAGGAGGTGGTGTAGCTTTGCTACTAGGAGAAGGGTGGAGTTTCGAAGAGATGGTAATTCAGAACTGTGAAGGTTTCAGTGACTACATATCAGGCACCATAGAAACTGGAGGACAGAAAATTATAGTAGTAGTCATATATAACCCCCCACCGAATGTCAGAAGACCCAGACAGGAATGTGATAGAAACAACTTGGCCACCATCAATATAATAGAGCGTAGCTTCTGTGGCTAGCAGGAACAGATCCAGACTACTAATCATGGAGACTTCAACCATGGGAAGATAGATTGGGGGAACAGAGACCCACATGGAGGCCAAGACAATGGAGAGCTAAGCTGCTGGATGTGGCAACAAGAAACTTTATAAGTCAACACGTCAAGGGACCGACAAGAATGAGAGGAGGGGATGAACCAGCCTTGCTTGATCTGATATTTACCCTAAATGAGTCGGATATAAGGGTAGTTAAGTTGGAAGCCCCCTTGGGAATGAGTGATCACAGTGTATTGAGCTTTGAGTACCTGGTTGAGCTAGGAATTATCACCCCCAAAAAAGAACTGGGAAACAAAGGGCTGGCGTACCGAAAGGGAAACTATGAGGAGATGAATAAATTCCTATGGGATACACATTGGGACACAGAACTCGGAACCAAGTCCGTACAAGACATGATGGATTATGTCACCCAAAAATGTCAGGAGGCTGTAAGCAGGTTTGTCCCAGCCCGACAGGAAAAAAACAGAGAAGCAAAGGAAGAATCCGTGGTTTAATAGGGAATGTATGAAAGCAAAGGAGCTGAACAAAAGGGCATAGAGGAACTTCCGTAATAACAGAACACCAAAAAGTAGAGAGAGATACCAGAGAACCAGGAACGAGTATGTTAGTGTGAGAAGAGCAGCTGAGAAAAGGTATGAAAATGATTTAGCTAATAAAGCAAAGACCGAACCAAAGCTACTACACAGTCACATTAGGAGGAAGACAACAGTGAAGGAACAGGTGATGAAACTTAGGGTGGGCGAGGACAGGTACACAGAGAATGACAAAGAGGTGTGTGAAGAACTCAACAAAAGGTTCCAGGAGGGCTTTACAATAGAACAGGGAGAAGTCACGGCGCTAGGAGAGGTGGCAGCAAACCAGGTGA